TGGCCGAGTACGAGGCGGCGCAGGCGCGCCTGCGAGTGCGCCTGCTGGCCGCCGAGGGCCTGTACGACCACCTGTGCGACGCCCGGAGCATCAACTGCTGCGTGGGCCTGTGCCTGGTCCCCGGGAAGCTCCAGAAGCAGCGCAGCACCATCATTAAGAACAGCCGCCACCCCGTCTTCAATGAGGACTTCTTTTTCGATGGCCTCGGGCCGGCCAGCGTCCGAAAACTGGCCCTCAGGATCAAGGTGGTCAACAAGGGCAGCAGCCTCAAGCGGGACACGCTGCTGGGGGAGAAGGAGCTGCCCCTCACCTCCCTGCTCCCCTTCTTGTAAAGGCCCCTTGCGGCCGCTCTCCGTTTCCCGCAGGTGGCAGGTGCCCGGTGCCCAGGGGAGACCCCCCTCCCCCCCTCACTCAGAGTCTGGCAGGCGGGAGACCAATGGGCTGGGCGGGGGCTGGGAGCGGGAGGTGGGTTTAAACCAGGGCTGGGCTGGCCCTGATGCTGCAGCTGCAGCTGGGGCTTTCCTGGGATGCTGCATGGTGACCAGGATACTATTTTTTATGGATTACGTTTTTTGGAGGAGGAAGAGATGGGGCTTCCAGGGAAGAGAACACCATTTGCAGGGCTGAGCATTGCCCCTGTGCCCCAAGTTTCATTCCCCTCGATGTGGTCTCAACCCTTTCAGAGTTTTGAAAAGGGATTCTCAGGTGGCTGGAAACCTGTGCCAAGAGGTGACCCAGGTGGATCACAGACCTAGAGGTCTCCAGTACTAAGAATGAGCTGAATCTTTTCCTGTGTTGCATAAGTGACCTCCTCCCCCAGGCCCGCCAGACGCCCCCCAGAAAGCAGTGCCAGGCTCAGGGTTCTGCCAACAGGGCCCCATGGGTCTGTGGGAGGCAGCAGTGCCGTGGAGCTTATGGTGCAGGAAGTCCCAGAAAATGAAAATGGGAACAATGGCTCCTCTTCTGTCCCTGGAGCCAGGCAGCCCTTCCATCCCCATGGGCTGTTTCCCTCCAACATCTTCTTTGCTTGCTTTTCGGGCTCAGACCTGCCTAGCCCATCCTCTGCACCTGCTTGAGACCCCTGGCCCTGCTGGGGCATCTGGAGCATCCCTCGTCTGGAGAGGGATGCTCAGAAGGCACCCAGACAGCAGGCCCTTTGCCCATGGCCCCCATCCCCCCATCCCTCCCAGGTTGCCACCCCGCCCTCTCCTGCCCAGCACCCTTGGCAGCTGGACACCAGGGAGTGATGCCCAGTGACTGATGGATGTGGCTTTTACTCAATGTGTGTAAATAGGTTTTG